GGGAATCCTAACCCAGAGTTCCTCCCCATCCCAATACAAGCCATTACAGCAGGGCTGTCCCTCAAGGAAACTTTCATTTTTCGAGCCTCATGCATCCCCTTCCACCATCTCAAATACGCCTTAAGTGGTTTCGCCTACAGACGTCGGCAAGCATCAACAGGGGACACTGAGCATTGCAAGCCTATCACACGAAGCTCTCTAAACCGATCTGCTGTTAAACTGTTGCCCTATGTGTAGTAGCAATATGGATTTTCACAGACTTGAGGAAGTGCTCCGGGCACTCTAGAAATCTCTGCATCGAGTTTCTAAAGCTAGTGGGGTATTATTTTTATGCAATGATGTAAATCGAGATTATGTGCATTCAGTAATTAGCTAAGTAGGAATCAGGGGAAGACAAACATTTTGCATAAGAATAATTCTCTCCAAGAGTCAGTCATTCCTTCATGGCCAACATCCAGTCAGTCAGGTTTCCGGGACTCCCAACCACAGCCTTGGGGAAACCCTGCTCCTGTTCCCGCTCACCGAAGTCTGAACCTGACTATTCAAAGGACTTGCGAGCAAGGCAAGATGCCATGAAATCCCTGCTTCCTCCTACCCCAAAAAAGGAGATCCCAGCTCCCTGTTCCAGCCAAGCTGCAATAGCACTGCAAGCCTTGAGTGACGCCCATCTCCCTCACTGCCAGTCCCAACATTGCTAGGAATGGGAGGCAGGGCTCGATAGCACAATGTGTGCGATTGGTGCTTCCTAGCTAATTAATACACAAAAAAGTAAAGGGCAGGAAATCCTCCTCCACGGCCTTCGCACTTGGATTTTCATTCTCTAAAATCCCTGTTGATCCTGAGCTAGAGCAGGCCGAGGGAAAATGGGTTTTTGCTGCTCAGTGCATACAGCTACCTGGCACATGGAAACTGCAGACCGTTTTTCTATGAATGAAAGTGCCGTTAGCGCCACATAAGGGAGATCAGATTTGTGCCTCTATCATCATCCAGGTCTAGTTTTCAGAGATCTACTGTACTATGTTCGGACACTCACTGGCCTGCTCATGAAATCCAAAAATAGGGTTTAGTACCAGTAAATGTGCAAAATTCATCCCATGGGGTGGCTATATTCTATAAGGCAGTTAAACAGCTCTCGCTAACAGCCCTACAGTAAGGTGGCATTCAACATGAAGGGAACAGAAAAACATAGTACCACTGTAGGCTGTGGTGCCCGGGAGCTGCAGGGTCCCCCCACAGCTCCCTAACTGCTGCAGGCGGTGGGGGGACACCACAGCTGAGTGCCCCATTTTGTCATGGGTATTTTTGGTAGAAGTCATAGGTCACGGCTTCCATGAATCTCTTTATTGCCCGTGATCTGTCTGTGACTTTTACTAAAAATTTCTGACACAAAAATCTTAGTCTTACTGACTATTCAATGTACTCTACTAGGGGGTTTCAAAGGCGCTGTGAGTGACCAGCACTGCAGGAAGGAAGGGGAGTATTAATAGCTGTGGAGGCCAGTTCTGAACACTGGAGCCCAAAGAAGTTGAGGCTCTGCACCTGTTTAACATTTGCAAACACCACTGCAGTTTTCACCCACACCTATCACCACTTGTACAGCTGGTACCAGAGACAACTGGGGAAGGCAATGGTTATTCTTTGCATTATTTTATCTCACCCAGTTTATTGTCCCCATCCAGCTCCCGACAACTGTTTCTGACCTTTGGTGTAGCTAGCGTAGTTCAAACTCTTGTGGAGACAGAGCCCAAGGTGTATTTAGCCCCACATAGTTTGATAAGTGACCTAGATATTGTAATGGAAGGGCAGGGGATTGCCTTTAGTATCATTGCAATCTTCAGAAGTTGCAGCTAACGCGCTCCCAAGCACAACAGGGGAACAGCGCCAATAATGGTTAAGGAAGCACACTATTCAGTGCAAATCGGGATGCAAAAGAGTTCCTTTGACACATTACATCTTAATTGACTACTCTTCAGAGTAAAGATCCAGGGGTTTAAAAAATATATATATATCAGCAAGACTTCTCTAAGAGATAATTCCACCCGCATGCCAGGAAGTGAAAACGTCATTGCTGGAATAAGTTTCTTCTGTAGCCCTAAAAAACTCTCCTTGGAAAGCAGCTTCGTCCAGAGCCTCTATTTTATAAACACCGCAAGTATCGGCAATAGCTCATAGCATTTGTGGGCCCTTTACCGCTTCATTCTCACTCAAATCCACGAAGCAAGAGTAAGGGACTTGCCCAAGGCCACAGAGTCGGCAGGAGAGCGGAGATTAGAACTCAGGAGCGCCTGGTTCCCAGTCCCACGCTGACAAACCTGCCACAACGTTACATTCCGCAGCAGTGACTGTTGCACACAAAACTCTAACTTCTCCAAGCTCAACTGGCTTTCAAGGCAGTGAGGGGCAGGTAACCAAGAACGACAGGTTTGCCCTCCAGGTCTAAAGGGGGTATGATCTAGTGGTTAGAGCAGAGGGCTGCAACTCTGGACTGGGGGGAGTGGGAGTCATGCCTACCAGGTTCTAATCCAGCTTTGCTACTAGCCCAAGAAGGCTTTCGTCAGCTTGCAGTAGCTCTTCTGTTTCCCTAGCTCAAAATCAGGGATAATACTTACCTCTAAGGAGCGCTCAGAATTAGCTACTTAGCACTGCAATGTTCTGAAGCACTATATAAACTCCAAGGATTTATTAGCCATCTGATAAGGGGGCAGCCTTGATGAAGTACAAGCTCTAGTAATTACTTCATTCCTTAATGGGCACTCAGAGCACACACCAGATCAGCTTGAGCCCAGGATTGGCCAGTCAAGTTCTACAGAAGGAACTTTTTGAGGACTCCAGCAATTAACATTTTCCCCTCTGGTCCTGGCATGTGCGCACAGCCAACTAGTTGAAATTAATCCATGAAGCTGTGCGTGTGGGGGATGGAAAAGGATAACCTCTGAGAAATGCATCCACAGCTTCTCCAAGAGACATCCCAGAGACAAATCAGGTTCGAGGCACCTACTACCAGGCATTGGAGGGAGGAAGAAATGCCAGGGACAGGGAGAGGAGGAAAGACTTTTCATGTGGGATGGAAAAGTTGCCTTCAGCGAGGGGGACTTGCCTCCTGGTGGGGGTGGAATAAGGACACCCAGTAAGGGGAAGGAGACCCCCGTTATGGAAAGGGAACGAGGATGGGAAATATGGGTTTCCTCACGTGCAGAGGGTTCTAAAGCAGCAGGGGGATCAGGAGCATGAGTGGGGGGAGAGAGGGGGGAGAATACCACCCCACAAAGAGGGACAAGGGAGGGAAGGCTGCAGGCTCAGAGAATAAGGACGGGGAGGCTAGCAGGATAGGTGGTCCAGGGAGTAGATAAATATCCAGGGGAAAAGATGTGCTAGAGAAAGGGAAGAAGAGTGGAACCTCCAGTGATGGGGCAGGTGTCCTGGGAAGGAGGGGTGGGGGGTGAGGAAGGAATTATACAATAAAAGGAGGTGCCTCGGATTTGGGCACAGGCCCCCATGGGACGGGAAAGTTTGAGGTCCACAGGGCTGACAAAAGAGAGAGAGAAGGGGATGAGGCCCGGGAGAGAAAGAAGGTAAAGGCCTGGGGTAGGGAGAGAGGAGGGGAGGCCCTGGGAATGAGAGGAGAGATGGAAGTAAAAGAACAGGTGCAAAGCCCCATAGTGGGTAAGAGAGGAAGATGAAAAAGAAGGAAAAAGGGGGTTGGGGTCTCCCAGGGAACAGAGTGGGATTGGGAGTTTGAGGCCCCGGGGGAGACAGGAAGAATAAAAGTGGGGTGTAGGGGGGAGAGAATGGGGAGTAGTGGGGGGAGGCCCCAGGGAACATGGGGCAGCAGGATGAGGGTGTTGATGTCAGGGAGAGGAGGGGGTGGGATTGGGAGGCGCTGGAGGAAGAGGAAGATAAGAAGATTGCAGCTGGAGATGGGGGTAAGAGGATGGCCCCAGGGGGAGGGGAGCACAGTGTGGGAGAGACTCCAGAAGTGTGTGTGTGGGGGGGGGGGGGGGGGGGG